CATATTATCATGTTTTAACAGTATGTGTGTATAAAATAAAAGCTACATTTCTCACTTGGAACACATCGACGGCTTGTACCAAATTCGTTAGTAACTCGTTAACACCTACATTGCCATGTACGATAGTAAATATCTCTGTATTAGATCTAGATCTCATAATAATCATAAGAACTGGCAAGGTATCAACATCTATGCTCGACACAGCTAATGAACCAACAGTACCAAGGGTTTGAGTTACAGAATACAAAAATCTGAAAATCAAATAAACATTTAACGCAAGCTCGATAAATTTTTAACATTGCATATTTGTATAAACTTTACCTTTCTTTGTTAGATTCATATGTGATGTCCCAACCCCATACTATAAAATTTGCCGAAAGAAGTTGAAGCACCGTTTCGAAGCCTAATAGTTGAGTACAAAAGACGTTTGCTAAAACACTGTTATCATGGTGCAAATATACAGCCAATAATTTTCTCTGTAATAATATAAAATTATATATTTCCATCCAGTTTTACATATTTACCGCGTTTTTTTTAATACTTAGAACAAACCTCTTTCGCTGGTTTTAGACACGATTCCTTCAGGGCATCTTCGAATGTACCAGTAAAGAATTCCGGGTGTGCCGGTCCGTATCGCTTTTCAAATTGTTCCGCAAAATGTAACGTACCCATCACCTCATCTACTACATTTTCTGGCACTGTTTATAAATAAAGAAATATATTATTGAATTGTGATACTGACATCATATCATTTCAATAAAACAACAGTTCCCTTATGATACAAAACACTCACTGAGACGTTCTATTTTAGTGGGTTTAACATCGTCTATGAAAATATCATCGTCGCCAGTAAACTCTTCTGGAACATCAAATTCTTCCACATCCTCTGGTTCATCTATTGAACTATCGCTGTCAATTAGATCTACGACTTTCTGAAATATAAAATACAAATGTGTGTATTATAATTTTATATATAAATTAATAGAAAAAAATTTATTTCTCCGATATTACCTTCTTTTCTTCCTTCGCTGGAAGTTTTCCGACGGATAAATCATGTTCCGGATAACATATACCACTTTGTGCCAATATTACATTATCATCCTTCAACGAACTAGGCCAACCTTTCCACTGTTGATTTCGTACAGGTACATCTATTAACGAATAGATGTCCGTCTTCACTTCTAGCACAGTACGTGTACCAGGAAACTTCAGCTTGTATGTTTTATTATGCACCTCGTCCTTGACGTTTAACGTATATGTCTGAGTCATACGATCTGATGACAGAATGACACTGGAACGAAAAAATATAAATTTGTAATTATAATAATCATAAAATTACATCGATAAAATTTTACAACTTACGCCTCATTAGCCACGTCACCGTCTTGCGGCAAAGATGACTGTAGATATAATGTATTTTCTCTAGGAAGATCTAACGTCTGCAGCACGGTATTCGGTGTCATATTCGCAAATTCCTTTTTCCATCCATAAAGTTTCTGTTGACAAGGTGGTACAGTTGTTTTACACCATATAGATTGCTTAAGATCTCCTGAAAAAAGAACATAAAATAATTTGATTTGTTCCGTCTTATTAAATTTTTGTTAATTACCAAAATCGTCTAAATATAATCATCATTTTCGCTTACTCAAAGTCGATAAATCTGACAAATTTATTTTATAAACGTTATCGAGATAGTTAATGTGGAATGTAAGTTGTCTATTTTTTATGCAACTTTTAGGTCTACTTGTCCCAGGTTTTGCATTTTCTACTATGTCTGCTTTCATGGCTCCTGTTTTTTTCGAGTTTTGCACCGTTTGTAACTTTGATGACGATGACGATGATGAAAGTGGTGTTACTTTAATTTCTTCTACCATTTCTATATCAGGAGCCATTTCAGAAGGAAGCTGCTGCGTAGTTTGGGGCATAGCCTTATTTATCGCAGCCTAAATGAGAAGATATATGTTGAGATAATCAAAGTTGCTACAACATATGTTTGCTTTCTAATAAGAAACAGATCCATTATAATATTGAATCATTTCATCTTTGTTTAACATTGAAAAAAAAAACGAAGATATAATGATATACTATTGGAGCTTTCCAGCATTAGATATGACAGTGATCATTTCACTTTTAACATTGGCAAATAAGAATATAAGAAGACACTGTGTTACACTCTCTATCTGTGTCTCTTGACTGCTGAAAAAAAGCATTCATGCTTTAATTATATTTACCAACAAATCCCAATTTGTTTGTTCCAAATATAAAATCGCTTCTCCGAAATCATCAATTCCAGTACAAGCCTGAAAATAATTTAAAAGACAAATACAAAGATAGAATGTAAAATGGAAAGTTACAGTAATATTTATACGAAGATACGTCATCGATACTCGTCTGAGAATTCGTCAAGTTTCAAAACAAAGGCATGTAAGACATGACAAAGGAATTAAGTGGAAGTTTTCACGAATTTTAGCAAATCATGGTGTCAACGCGATTTGACCGATATAAGTCATGTATTTGAATACACCGTTAATTTTTTAAGTATTACGAAAAAAGTTTATTGGATATCTCGAGAAAGTTCTCGTCTCAAATGCAAACAAATTATTGTCAATGTCATGTACACGTAACTCCATAACCTAAGAATGCATTTGCGTTGCGCTTGCGAGAAGTTTGTAGAATCCATCAATTTACCTGAAAGTCAGCTAGTATCGCGTCCCGATTTTCGGCCATCGCAATGAAATTCCAATACAAAGATTGCAAGACGTCCAAGTTCAACGATACTCTCGCGTTCTATTATCTTATAGCTATTACAAATAATATGAACAACAACCGCGAGCCATTGAAGTCTTGAACCACGAAATTTTCACGTAAGATACTCGGCGTCTCATTGCACGTATTGTACAATTATACAGTAGCACAATCTGCACAGTCTGTGGCAATAAGGGCCATTCCACACAAACTTGCATAGCCGCATAAACATATATATAAAGAAAATCATCCAATCGTATTTTACGTTTGCCTTTATGACAGAAATGTGATTGGATAATTTTCTTTATGCTTATGGTTGTGCGGCTATGTAAGTTTGTGTAAAATGACTCTAAGCGAGGAGCACAGATTCTTGCATAACGCATAAAATATGAAACATAAGAAAATCAACCAACCATTCTTTATTACATGGAAGAGAGAGAAACGAAGAACTTTGATTGGTACATTTTCTCATGTATTACGTGTATTATACGTTGTGCAAGCGTCTGTGCTCCTCGCTTTATGCTCGTCTACAATAAACAGTAGCAGTAGAGGCTGTAGACATGTCGGAAGTAAGCTGGTTTTCCGGCCTAGCCAGGGACGCAATTCCGTAACTATCTTTACACGCCTACTGACAGTTGTCGATGGCCTAGTTTTCACCGAGGGTTTAATCCGGATTAGGATGTAAGAACCAACCAACTACAGTCGATTATTTCCCTGTTACAGTCGAATGACAAGGGTATGCTCAACTGTAGTTGATTGGTTCTTACATTTTGTGATCCAAATTAAACGGTGAAAACCTCCCTTCCTCGGTGAAAACTAGGCTGGTGTCGTTACGCAGATATTTTATATGGTGAAAAAGCTGCACAACGACATAGCAATATCGTTAAGCTAACTTTTGCAAAATACATTTTGCCGCGTCTCATTGAAGTTCAACCGAACGAACAACGAGCAGCAAAGAAAAATCTGTAATATTTGCAAAAAATGTAAAAATTGAGTACATTTATAACGAGTATATACAATGAGTACATTTTTATTAAGATTTGAAGTGATGGGGATATTCTAAATTCTAAATAATTACTTAAAATGATTGTCCAAAATTGTAACTGCACTAACAGTTGCCATATAATCACAAGTTTTTAACTTTTTAAGTTTTCCATATTAATTTTCACGCGCGCGGGCGCGAGCTGAGCAAATAAAAGACACATATTTAAGGTTAAACTTTAATACATATGCTGTTGTCGTTATTCCTTTTCATGCGCAGCAAATGTAGCGAAAGCAATTATAAAAAATTGGCATCATGTAACATTTTTGCTGCCGCAGCGTGTTGCGCATGAAAAGGTACCTTTAGGCGCGTAATACAGTTACGGAATATCGCGTCCCAGAAATGATTGATCAATCAACGTAGTAGCAGAAGCATTGCGATGAAAGTTTTTATAAGCAATGTTAAATGTAATAAATAAATACAAACAACAATGTTTATCGTTATAAATAAATACGATTGATTAACACTTCAATGCTTTCCATCATTCACACAATATATTCATCCCAATACATCAGTTTGAATTTGCCGCTATATGGACTTAAAATGGCAGACCTTTGAGGTACTTTATATATCTAGTGACTTTATCCTCATCACGTTAAAGTGGCGCACCATGAAGAGGATTGTTAAAATTAAAATAATTTAATAGAAAGTTACTAGTCAATTCTGCTGAACAACAAATGCGATTGGTCAGTTCCAATGTAACAATCAAATCGATTTATGTTAAAGTTGGTGAGAGGTGAGGTCAGCTCATGTGAATTCTCCATAATTCAATTTTTTATATGTCTAACCTAATATTCGATTACGAAAAATAGTGTATAACATATTTAAATTATTTAATATACAAAAAATGTTTTTAAAATTTAGTACAAGTTTAAAAAAAATTTTTTATATCATAACAAATATAAAATTAACCAATTTATAGGGAAAAGAGGAAGTAAAGAAGATGAAAACTATAGCTCAAGAGAGAAAATACTTTCCACTTAAAGCAAGAAGAAATTATCTACTTTTGGTATGTTTAATCAGCTTAATTTAATTTAATTGTTTTAAATTATATTAATAAACATTTTTTTCTGTGGAAACGACAATGAAGAACGAACGTTCGCAGCTGTCACAATTTCAAAAATAAGTAATATGGGAAATATAAATAGAATATCCAATATACGTATGTTGCGATACAAGAAATTATGATTTCCGTTATTATTTTTATTATTAATCAGTTATAAATACAAAACAAACATGCCTTCAAAGTATGGACTTTTATTGCTGCTTGTTTGCATAGGATGTGTTTTGTTATTTATTACATTCATAGAGAAAAGTTTATGGTTAAAGAGAGAGATTCCGAAAATAAATCTAATACAGCTTGAAACAATATATGAAGTAACTGATACATCAGAAATTTCTAGAATCATAATTGAGCCACCATGCAATGCTACTTTTGTGATATGGATTGTCACATCTTATGCGGGTGAGCCTTCACCAAGGAGTGCTTTACGGCGAGCTTATACAGATGAAGAGTTGCAGGCTTTAGGAATCAGAAGAATATTTTTACTCGGTACATTAAATGATTATGCCGAAAGAAAGACACATATGCTGCAAAATGCATTGTTGGACGAGTCACGACGATTCAATGACTTACTTCAGGGAGATTTTTTAGACACTTATAGAAATTTAACTCGCAAGCACCTGATGGGCCTTCAGTGGGCAGCAAATAATTGCAAAGATGTTAAATATATTATGAAAATGGACGATGATATTATTGTAAATATATATGACATATTAGAGAAATTACACTCGGGTATGATAGAAAAGAATACTTTGACTGGTTATATTATGAAGAATATGATTCCTGTTCGAGAACCAGCCAACAAATGGTATGTGAGTAAGGCGGAATATGCGGATAATATTTATCCTGACTTTGTCTCTGGCTGGCTGTACATCATGCATCTGCAAATAGCAAGTCGACTGATTGATTATGCCATATCTTCCCATGATTACTTTTGGATAGACGATGTGTTTGTCACTGGTATCCTCAGACAAACTCTAAACATAAAAATTCAAAATATCAGTGAGTTATATACGACAGATTATAGATATTTGGAATGTTGTATAAAGGGAAAAGCAAATCTACTAAAATGCGAATTCTTGGTTGGTCCTAATGGCGGCGATACAGAGTTGCAAGTAAGATTCAAGGAATTTGCCAAATTTTGCCATACAAATTGTTCTATCCGTAAGAAGAGTAATCTTGTTGGTAAGACCTGCGTGGTGACGTACAAGGAGCCAAAATTATACAAAGGTGCTGTGCAAATAAGTCCAGTCAGAATTTTATAAAGAAATAATGGAGGAAAGGGTAGGTAGAATGAGATTAACAACACTTTAATAAATTATATATTATTTTATTACTAAGAAAAAATCTATTTATTATAATATATAAAATTTGTACAGTATATTTTATACGTTATATAAAGTTTTACAGAATTGTAGTTATTTATTTTATCTATCTTTTTATGCGTCAATAAATTCTTATAATAGTTATTATATCACAGTCCCATATATATGTGATATACAGTTTCTCTAACGTAAAATGAAGTGGATCCAAATTTTAAGTTTACATTTTCTTAGCACAAGAACAATATAATTGGATGTTATTTTTAAAAATCTTATATACAGATCTTGATAATTGAAACATTTATTTTATCTTTTATCATCAAAAGAATGAACGAAATAACAAATAATTATTTATTATAGAAAAAATTAAAGTTAAAATTTAAAAAAGCAAATTACATTTCTATAGGTTTTTTGAATGTATTACATACAAGAGATACAGATTATAGCAAATTTGCAATTTTCACAAATGAAAATAAAGTTGCAATTTTATTTACTTTAGATAATTGGAAGTACAGATGGTATCTTTCGATTCTATTAACAAAAATATTTTAATATAATTACAGCCTTGGCCAAAAAACACCACAAATTGATGTAAATATTCTATATCAAACGAAAAATAAATTTAAAAAGTTTTATTAAGAAATAAAATTATCATTTTAATTATAACAGAGAGAAATTTGAGACCGGCCATGCTCGGGATTTAGTTGTGACTTTATTTTGAAGGAGCTCTATGTCCACAAAAATTATATATAATTGTTATAAAAATTATATTTATTTTATAACAATTTTAGCATATCGTTTTTCCTCAGATTTTATTTTATAATTAGATTTTATTTTTTCCAAGAAAATAAAAAATTGAACATGCTTATATTTATAACTAACGCTGTAGATATTTGTATCAATTTTCTATTAAAATATTTAATTTCGAGAAGATAATATACATGAGAAGCTGTTATCTAATTTTAAAGTAGAGATTTTTTTTTCGGTAACTGAAAGGTTGCACCTATGCATAAATGATCACTACCTACTACAAAATTTGGTATTCGAGGTAGTTCGCTACATTGACTTACTGTAGGTAGAATGTATTTCTCTAAAGGCTGGATGTTACTGTAGAATATATAATCCACTGTGATCCACTCTTCCTGATGCGTCGTTGCTTCTTTCTCACCATGGGCGCTTACATGCATATAAATGCTACGCATGTCAAAGGGATGCGTTAAAGTGCCGGACGAGAATCTCGCGGAATGACCCTTCACAATCTCGATAACTTGCGTGCAATTGTTATCACTGTTTGCGCCCTGTTGTAATACATGCATATTACAAGGCGTGGACATACTTTCATCTAGTTTTTGATAATGTGATTCGCTGTTTTCCAGCTGGAAGAAATGAATAGAGAAATATCTTAAAATACAATTAGAAAAAAAGATTAAGATTGAAAAAAAAAATATGGAATGTAAAAAAATAATTAAAACTACTGTTTTCGGGATCTTTTTCTCTCTTTTCGAAAAATTTTAGATATAAACATGAATATATTGATGGTATTCATCGAAATATATAAACCAAAATAAATTTTTAAATAGGTGAAAAAAATTAAGTTTTATATACATTTTTATATACATACATAATCCATATAACACAGATCATTCTAGCAATATTGCAGTAACATTCGCAACGTCCCAATAATATTGCAGTAACATTACGATGTTACTGCAAGCTTCTGCGCTGTATAGGAATTGTTATATGTTCAAGAACATACCATGACTTTACCGGTGCCTTCTCTTCGCAGTCTTTGAGTCAGGATATTAAAATGTTGACAGTTATCGGTAACGCATAATCGCGATGGTATTAATGAATTGGACAGAGAACGAAATCGAGACGGCTCTAAACTTCGTCCTTTCCCACAATACTTGAACGAACCTTTTGTTAGGAACCTATAAACACCCGTGAATGGCTCTAAATTAAAGTCGCCTGCGAGTATGATTGGTAAATACTTCGGGCCCGTTCTGCAAAGTAATTTTATAAATAATTAATACTCGCATGAAGATCTCTTACCCAGACATGATGAGCAAATAATTTTTTAAAGGCATGTCCTCACATCGTGTTCTCGATGAATGCAATTCGTTCTATTTCCGCTAATAAAAGCTGTATCTGCGCCAATCTTACGTCGTTGCGTTTCGGATTATATAACAAGTGAGTAGTAGCTACCACGATTTGCGCTTCCGGATTGTCTTTGAGGGCCAGTTTAGCGATTATACCGACGTTATCTCTGTTTAGAATCTCGATTCCGGGTTGATATAACTCTACCTTTGCATAATCTAACAAAATAAATTCATTGGAGCGATATAACAAAAGTAAACCATCCTTCTTGTTGTTGGTTCTTTTTTTATACAGATATTCATATCCATGCTGTTTAAATGGAGCCACGAAATCTAGCAGATGATCCTCCTGCATTTCCTGAAGGCATATTATCTGGAATATTCGACAATATAATAGCAGATATTCTTTAAGCATCTAGTTTCAGGTTTGACAACATTAAATGCCGAAGAATAAATATGTACATTTGCCTCCGCCTCGAATATTTCTTGTATCACAAGGGATTTTCGTGTTTTCCAACTCAGGGCTTTCTTGTTATGATTCATGTACAGATACGAGTGATCTTCCAATAGATTTTGTGCCAAGATATTAAAGGACAAGAGTTTCAATATGAAAAAATCTTCCATATTATTGGATGATCTATCTAAAAATGTTTGAAAAATCATGTTCTTTGGGCGGAAAAAACAATTAGGTAAATAATAAGTGAATCTAGACACATATATGAATACAAGCAGAAATGTGCCCTATACAGTCAAGGCTAGATTTCTTAGGCCAGTATTTACAGCCAGTTCTTATATTCAAGACCATCTTAAGTTCTGTCTCGAGATGTCACAAACCAATAAGAGAGCCATATTAATATCATAAGACATTACTTAAGACAGTCTTGAAATAAGAACAAACTATGAATACCGGCCTTAATATTTCTTACTTAATTTTTTTTTATAAATACATTTTTCCATTCTACAAACTGTGCCAAGTAAATAGCATTATGTATATTTATACATCCATTTGAAAATGTAATGTTTAAACAAAAAAGAGTAACTTTTACCTTCTTCAATTCGTTTCCACTTCCTTATAGTCTTGTACCTTTTTTTATCTATATAATTTCCATAGGTATCAGCTGCACATACGTTAGCTTTAACATTATGTGTCGTATCTGCAAAACCAGTCTGACAGTAAAGCAGTGCATTCGCTAGGTCGCACATTGCGCTAGTGTTGCTTTGGCTGTAGCAGGTGTCAAAATAAGGTTCCATTTTGACTTCTGTACACTTCTGACGGGACGGAGAATTATCCATAGAGGCAATAAGTTCCAGGTAATTGGAGACCAAAGCTTTCCAGACAGGACTCTTACACAAATTCTCTAAGAGTAATTGTTGCCAAGTTGGCTCCAGTGTACAAAAGATCTGAAAAGGAATCGTACAATGAACAAGATTATAAACATATAAGGCTAAACGAGCATGATCAACCTTCCGATGTACAATGCCAATACTGAAAATCTAATATATATGTAATATGAAATGTAAGGTTTAGTAGCATTAACAGTGTATACTGAAACACAGTTCAAAAATGAGGAAAAGGGAAACTTAAGAAGGTAAAAAAATTTATTATTAACTGAACTTCGTAAAACCGCACGTTTTTGACATTTCTGAGCAATGCTTTCGAGCAATGCAATCGAGAGTACAGATTGAATTCCTCCTCGAGAAAAGATCAGCGTTCTAACCTAACCAATAACCATCGCGCTAAATAATGACAGAGTTAAGGTCAACCGCGAGACTCGGCGAGGGCGGAGGGGGGAAGGGGGAGGGTAAGAGACGCGAGGGCCGCGTTTGTGCGGGAGATGCGCTTACCTTTCGCGATTGCAGAAACGTCGCCGTCCGCGCGTTACATGCTATGTTTAGCAGAGAAGCGGTGCTCGTCAGCAGCAGCCTCGGGGATACGCTCATTTATCACCGCGGATTTTGATTTTTTTTTTTTTTTTTCACGCCCCTATCATAACTCACGCATCGGGATTGTCGAGATCTGGCGGACCGTTACCGTGGGCACTGCTTCGATGTGTACATACCGCGCGACGTAAAATGCGTGATTCCTCAGGTACGAGGCTGCAAGCAACCTGATCAGCCTGATCTCCCGCTCGCTCACGATTCCGTCGTCGAAAAGACACGATCTGCTAAATCGGGCAAAGGAAGGGTCGCGGGACCAGATCGGTGCAGATCAGTCTCGTTTCAAATCAATCGTTGACCCTGACGAAGCGAGTTTAGTTCTCCATCGCACGTATGTAGTATACACACGTATATAGGCGAACGGGAGGTGGAGGGGAATACAAACGCGATCATTTAACCGAGATCCATATTCGTTGATATTTGTATTCTGTATATTTAGCAGGGCACAAATGCTGATGGCCGTAGGGTCCATAGGCCTTGCTGAACTTCTTCCACGGTTTTTTGATACTTTCTCTTTTTCTCAACGAGAAAGAAAGGGGAGAAAAATGAACCGTGCATGAACTTTAGCTAAAAAGAACAGAACTCGTGTAACGCCGAATGCTGCGCGCGCGAAAAGTCGAAATCAGTTCAAGAATGAATGGGGGCGGTAATTAATTATAATTAAACCCGAAACACAAATTGATCAGTCATAGTCGAATGTGAAAAGAAGAATAATCGACTATGGTTGGTCAATTTTTAAGACATAATTATATCTTATATCTATTATGTATATCAGGACTTAAAGAAGGAATTAAAAATGATATTATTAGTAAGCTAATTTAATTAGGAAATTTCGCTTATTTATCCTTTTCTTTGTACGACGATGATGATGATAAAATAATATCTCAACTAAATATTGTGTCTATGAAAGCCAAACACAGGATGTTCGCGTGTTCGATGTTAACATC